GATATTACTTTTATTAACATTCACATTTCAACTGTTTGTTAAACTCTTTACTACATGAAATAATTAAAAGTTCCTTTCCAGATTTGTGACTATGATGTAATGTAGAAAAGGAAGTTATTTTGTGTATTTTAATCTTACTTGCATTGCAGTCAGTCAAAAGGTTCAGGCCATCCTTAATGAAATATTTCAAGACTTTCTTTCAAGGCTCAATATCCTACACTTATACTGTACAGGCACACCTTAGACCTATTAAAGATTTGGTTTCAGACCACTGCATCACAGCAAATATTAAAATACTGTGAGTCACATGAATTTTTGTTTTCTCAGTTTATATAAAAGTTATGTTCACATCATATTATGTTAAGTGTGCAGAAACATTTATGTCTAAAAAATCATTGTAGATACCTTAATTAAAAGATAATGCTCTTGGAAAAATGGTGCTTATAGACCTGTTCGATGAAGGGTTGCCATAAGCCTTCAATTTATGAAAAATGCAGTATCTGTGAAGCACAGGAAAAAAAAACAACAACAACAAGGAATGCCTGTGTAATGATTTTCACTTATCTTACTTACTCCTAACAACAAACTCTAGATCCGAGGAAATATTAACTGAAAATTTCTACAAGACTACCTCTTCAAAACCTATGTCTCTTCTATTCCCTTGGAATTCTTCCCCTGCATATTTTGGAACCCTTTCAATCCACAGCAAAGTCACTCAACTGCTCTTTCATATTTACTTTTTTATTTCTGGGCTACATTCTGAACGAATGCCTAATGAATGCCAATTCTTGAATTCTTCCTTTGATGGCATAAAATGTGGCTTTTTAACCTCAGAAAAATCTACTTACTAAGTTTATTTCCTCTTTAGTATTAGGTAGAATTTCTTTCATCTCTATGGAAACTTAAACATACTTCTTTTATTATTTACCCCTTCCTATGTTTTTGAGATTATCTCTGCTCCATCTATTCACTACATGGAGAATTAGATCGTACAGTGGGCTTAAAAAGAACTTCCTGCTGTAAGATGATACAGGAGATTTTTTAAGACTCCCTCACCAACCAAGAAAGTAATCAATTTAATTCAGGTTCTGATTATAAGGACTATGTCAGTCCTCTCCTTTCCTTCATCACGATTTCCAAAAACTGGGGTTTTAGCATAAACCAGTATCCAAATTAGGGCCATCCTAAGTAGTAAAGAAATCTCTAGTTAACTACATGGATGATAAGCATAAAGCAGAGTCTCACAGGTAACCTAAGATATTTATTAATATGATCCCCTTAAACACAAGCCTTAGCCTATGCATCAGTTATCAGTGGCTTTCTTCCATCTCCTTTCCAAGTATGGGGTCTCATATTAGGCCCTGGCTTCATGTATTTTAAGCCTAACTTTATTCACACATGCTTCATGAAGCACCTTACATCCTTTAAACATAAAAGATCCAAACTCGTGGCTACAAGTATCTACTTCTACTACCTTAAACCTAATGCTGACCACTAAGTACTTTTTTTCTATATAAACCACAGAAACATTTAGTTTCTAAACCCATTAATGTCTACCCTCTTTCCAGTACTTTGTCTTTCATTTCTTTATCTTTTTTTTTCCATTTATTTTTATTAGTTGGAGGCTAATTACTTTACATCATTGCAGTGGTTTTTGTCATACATTGAAATGAATTAGCCATGGATTTACATGTATTCCCCATCCCGGTCCCCCCTCCCACCTCCCTCTCCACCCGATCCCTCTGGGTCTTCCCAGTGCACCAGGCC